GTCTTCTGGTTCGTCGTCAATCGTCATCGGCTGCCTCACTTTCTTGGTCGCTTTCGTCCTCTTCAAAGCAAGTCACCGGGGCAATCAGCGTTAATATTTGCTGTCTTTCGAAGACCTTCCAAGAGCTTCAACATTTGCCAACGTTGTTGCTTCACAAACTGGGCAATCCCTGATGTTGGGCAGGATGCATTCGATGTGGAACATAGGTCCACAACCACGGAAAACGTTCCAAATGGAATAACCTTTTCGCAGGCAGGCAAATCGCAGGTAAGATTTATATTTCACAGATCTTGATACATTTATAGTCAGCGTCCTTGGTGATTGTTCCAAAATATGAGTGTGTACCAAAGTTAAAATATTACTCATGATCTCCAGAACATGTTTGGACAATGTTTTGAATCACTGCAGTTTAGAATTAGCAGTCGTTTTAAAGACAACAGAACTGGCAGCCATGGCACCCCATAACTATTCAGTGTACAAATACCTAGCCTGCGAACAGGCTCACTGGGAGAAAGGTGAGCCTGCACGGAACCATGCGTTTTATTCATTCATCCCCTTTTCGCATCTGCTAAACGCTAACCAATCAGCGTCGACTGCGATAAATAAACTGTCAACTGTCAAATTGACGCAAGGCGTGTACATTGTGCAACATGAACAATAATAATACAAAGCATTAGCGGGCCGCACAATATATTACTCGGAAAATATAGAATTCTTCAAATATTAAATAGATATCAATACACATACAAATATAAAGCCGAATAAACTACCATTGGCTTTGAATGTACAGTAATACTTGTACTATGTGCGACTGAAAGAACAATGTTCTGAATATTTTGAAGCTATTACTAAAATACGGTCAGATAGATTGGGATTTGGAATACCGAATACGTTTAAAATTTTACTAACTGTGGTCTAAATAAATGATAAATGAGCATGTATTTATTAATTTCTTCGAAATCACGAGTGTGCCAATAGTGGAAGCCGTATCGACGACGAAATTGTCAGCAGTTAATATACAGTAAACAGTACAACGTTTAATGTACGATATATATTTATCTAAATGACATGCCAGCGAGGATCGACAATATAATTATTCGTACATATTTGGGTATCTTTTGTATGCCTTCGCTTGCTGACTTGCTCACTAATGAGAATAATCCGTGAAGCCACGACGACCTCAAAATGTACTATACTATGGTCTGATGTCAATCCGAAGACGAAGTTCAGAATACTGTTATAGTTTCGTATATTGGATTTAAGCGATAGATTCAAGTCATTTATGATAGACTTTTTTGCTGTGATGCTTTGCTATTGCTTTTGGTTTCCATTTCTAGTTTTATTTGTTCGATAGTCCTATAATATATAATATTAAAATGAATAAAGTTCAAATTCTTCAAAATGCTGTTGTTGACATTTGCTATTTTTAGTAATTTTGTCAACGAGTGTAAGCCAATCAGAAGCCTGCGTTTCTATACGAACGCCACTACCAAGAAAACCTATCATCCGTGCAGGCCCTCTATTCTTCGCGCCGCCCGCAACCCAGGGCCTGTTCGCAGGCTAACAAATACCAGACAATGTAAATTACCACCTCCCCCAACCCAGAAGTAGGCAGTTTTTATTTCCCAGCACTGCATAATCAAAATTGCTGGATTGTATAAATGCCTGGCTTTGTCTCAGTGGCCCTGCTTTGCCCCATGAACCCCACACTTCCTAGATTCAAGCAAGCGGGGACTTATATTGACTGGTACTTAGGTCCTGTTTATATGGAAGCCGGGCTGGCCCGCTAAGTGAGACAGCCCGGTAAGCGAGATCTCGCTGTGTAGTTATTTTTATAGTAAAAATTATTGTGCGTTTATATGGACAAGTGGGCTGGCCAGGTTGCCGAGATCTCACTTGAAAAGAGGTGAGATCTCACTTGAAAAGAGGTGAGATCTCACTTGAAAAGAGGTGAGATCTCGCTTACCGGGGTGGAAATTTCTCCATATAAACACTCACAAGCGGGCTAGCCCAGTTGCTGGGATGAAAGATACCGCCGCAAGCTATTTTTAACAACTGTCAAAACCAGCAAGCGGGATGAAATTTTCCCATATAAACACAAGAGAAATTCATCCCACCTGCCTGTCTCGCTAAGCAGGCCAAGCCCGGCTTCCTGCATATAAACAGGCCCTTAGTTGAATTGCAGCACTTGGTCTGCCTGTGTGTTACTCTTACGTGTACCCTGGTTCTTTGCAAGGTAAAAGAAACAAGAGGTGAGAATGGAAAGCCTCTGATCATATCAATTGCAAATCCCACTTCCACACTTGAATAGGTTCAGAATTTGAATCTCACATGTGATTGGCCATTTGTAAAAATATGTCAAACCTGTTTGGGAAATAAACACTACTGTGAGCTAATTATAGCTATCTATCTATTTAGCTTTGCCAGGGCCGGGTCACCACAACAGCATATGCCAATTACTGTGAGCCCTTTTTACCCAACCCACCCTGTCAACTTTCCATGTGGGAGGAAACTGGAGTACCCAGGGAAAACCTGTGACGTTCAGCAGAGCGTTGCGGTTTATTCTTTTCACATGAAGACTGGGTTTGAGTCGCATTGAGAAAGTTCTCACTGACTTGAACCTGCAGCCTCAGAGGTGACAGGCAAGTGCGCTAACCACTTGGCCACCGAAGCCCCAATTAAAAAGCCCCAAGCTATTATAGTAAACTCAACCAAGCATGAATATTAATACTCCCGCAGGTGAAAAGGTATTAAATTTCTCAGGAGATAAACATATCAACATTAATCAGTTTTGCAGGACATTCAGACATAATACATTCTTGGTTGAGTTTAATAGAATATTTTAATACAGGCTATAATTAGCTTACAGCAATGTTTATTTCCCAAGCCAGTTTGGCATATTTTTACAAATGGGCAATCACATGCAAAATTCAAATGCTGAACCTAATCAAGTGTGGAAGTGGGATTTGCAATGGACAGTGACCCTGGGCTGTACACAGCACAGGGGAGGGGGCGGCAGGAGGGGGAAACTGCCCTCCTAAAGAAAACTATATTTACAATTTTTAGAATGTCATTATTAATTATTCTTTGCATATTTGGAACTTTTTTCAACATATAAGCCTTACTGCCCCCTGGTGATACGGCCCTGATGTGACCAGAGGCTATCCGTTCTCGCATCTTGTTTCTTTCGCCTCGCAAAGAGCCTCTGGAACCAGAGTACACTTAAAGTAACACACAAACATACAGAGCAAATAATATAATGCTTTTAAGGCAGTGAATTGGTAGGGAAATCTTTCAATAATATCCTGTGATTATGGTAAACTATGTACCAATACCAGACAATATAAATCCCTGCCTGCTCAAATCCCAAAGTGTGGGGCAAAGCAGGGTCACCGAGACAAAACCAGATATTTACACACAGATATGTACAGATAGTGACAGTGCTGAGAAGTAAAAACTGCCTACTTCTGGGTTGGGGGAGGTAGTAATTAATTACATTGACTAGTATTGTACACTAAATAGTTATGGGGTGCAATGGCTGCCAGTTCTGTTGTCTTTAAAAGAGTTAAAGGACTGCTAATTCTAAACTGCAGTGATTCAAAACATTCAAACATGTTCTAGAGATTATGAATAATATTTTAACTTTGGTACACACTCATATTTTGGAACAATTTCCAAGGACGTACTGACTATAAATGTATCAAGATCTGTAAATATAAAATATATTAAATCTTCCTTTAAAATTTCCATCGATTTGCGATTTGCCTGCCTGCAAAAAGGTTAATCCAATCGTGGTTGTGGATCTTCGTTCCACATCAAATGCATCCTGCCCAACATCAGCGATAGCCCAGTTTGTGAAGCAACGTTGAAGCTCTTGGAAAGACAGCAAATACCAACGCTGTTTGCTCCGGCGACTTGCTTTGAAGAGGACGAAAGCGACCAAGAAGTGAGGCAGCCGATGACGATTGACGACGAACCAGAAGACGAACAGAACGAAACCCTCGTGAACAGTTTATTAGCAAAAATATTAAGCCCTTCGCGAAGGTCTGTCAGACAATCGCCATTTTGCCAACCGGATATGTACAAATGTACAGTAATGAGTCATGCGATATTGTACCTGTCAGTCGTGGATCGTTGTGACGCATTTCCGATGCGAAATGAGATCGATGAGATCAGATAGGTAATATTTAAAAACATGTCAGCTGTGGTGTGGGGAAAATAAGTTTAAACTGCCAAATCCACCAATTTTTTATGTGTGTGTAAAGATAGTGCAAGTGAGAGTCTGCTATTTTACGCGCGTCGAAACACTGTTGTTCAAACATAAATATTTCGCGTTCTAGATCGAATTTAAAAAATCCCCCCGAGGAAAGTAAAGAAGAAAGCATGCTTTATCAGAATTTGTCAGTTTTGGCGAAAAAAGTTTAATATCGAATGTCACCGAGGGCGTAGAACAAGGTGTTATTTTCTCACTCCTTTTGTTTACATGTTTCGAATTTCAGGCATTCTGATTGGTCAATAACGCAAAATGTAAACAAACGCGCTGATTGGCTAACATTATTTGCCCTTGTTTATTCATACTGGTTAAAATAAACAGCAACTTTAGTTCTTTTAGTAAAATTCGTGTATTTTTCTCAAAACTTAGGGTTATTTATGGATAATTTGGTTAAAAATTGGCAGGAGTCTAATGGATAATTTGGGTCAAAACAGCCACAAAATAATATTCTATCGGAGAAAAATGCGTGCCGAAACCTACTCGCCAGGGCACAGGTGCCCCAGCGAGTATTTATAATATCCTTGGATTACAAATCTTGTATTAACTATCTTGTAATTTTTAAGTTTTGAGTGAATAAACTTACGCCAATTTTAACTCTCCATGTTAGTTAAATGAAAACATCGGGAGAGTTAAGAAATTGAGTCGGGTCGTTAGAAACGATGGCACGACTCAAACTTAACATTCCAAAATCTTAACTCTCGGATATAAATAACTCTTCCCTTTAGCCGTTTCCATGTTATTTATATTGCGAAGGATTTAAACTGATGCTTTGACTGATACAACAGTTGATCGTCTTTGGCTGATATGACAGTTTATTGGTATTAAAAAGTTGGGCTTTATATCTCTACCTATGTATGTTATATTTCTATATTGCAACTCACCCTTTTTCGTGACTTGTAAACTTGAAATATTAAACGGCGCAGATCCATTATCTCTTGCTTGAGCGATTGGTGATTCAACTTCCTCAACAGTCGGAATTGGTTCGGTGGAATTATATAATATTTCAAAATCTGCAACAATACTTCCCGGGGTACCGGTAAAGCAATTAAACTTAAAGCCAAAAAAGCCAAGTAAGAATCGAAATATTGGTATCAAGAAACTGAGAAATCTACTTCTCATATTTCTGAAAGCCAGACTTAGCTTGTTCTGCAGATCGGGCATGAATGGTTCAGCAATTGTTATATCAACTGCAAATGTGACAGTTTCGTTAATTGGAATTGTCGCCTGACTTTCCAATGACGTAAATATTGTAATCTCTGTGCCAGATTCTGGTGGAGTTTCTGTTAAAAGTAAAAAAAATGCATTATTGCTAATTAAGACAACCATTTATAATTCGAATATATTCTATCCAAAATTTGTCAAACATGTTATAGAGCTATATTTGCTAAGTATATACCACCAATATACACTTGGTCAAACTATTACATGCATGAAACTTTAAGACACATGTACGCACGGATAAACACGAGTTTCACCTGGTGAATTTTCAAGTATTCTCCCAACATTCCCTGACTGCAATATCGCACTATAAACGCACGAGACGAGTTTTTCTATTTCTCATTTTCTTTTATAATATAACAAGATATTACCCACTAAGTAATTTTATTTGGAAGATCTATTTGGAAATTCTGGTAGAACATGTAATAAATGACGTTGTGTCATCGCTTAGCAACAAGCTTCAATTTTCAGGCGGGCGATGCAAAAAAACAACATTAATCATTATAAATTTTGAGAATTAACCTTAATAAGCTGGATGGACAATGTTCGAAAATGACAAAAATAACCCACCCTGATAAGGAGACAAATTTGCTGTTGTTTTGTCGCGTTTTACAAGCCGGATTTGGAATCTGAGGTTTTCGTTGCGTTGTTTTGTTTCCATTTGCTGGAATTATCATTATATTTTTCGCGTTTCACTAAATATATGTCATTTAAGGTGGCTCCCTACAGTTGTAAAGAAACAGCAGCAAAAAATAAGGTCTTCACAATCATCCAAGATATTCGCTATTTATGTGAAATGGGGATTTTTTGAATTAGAAACGCTTGCGTAATCTTTATACTTCAAGCATAATCGTTCGAAAGAAGCAAATTGTGTGTTGCTATGGTAACAATGTGGCCTAAGCGACAGCGGATAAAGATCAAATTTTGGACCAATAATGAATTTATTTAAAT